GAATCTGTGTAATAATCACACAAGAATCTCATGAAAATAATTAAGAGTCAACTGAAACTCTTCTATATAAAAGATGTGAGATGAATCTGTGTGATAGTCAGAGAAGAATCTGTAGATTATAAAGAATCTTGTGAAATAAGAAACTGAGTAATAGACTCTTTTCTCTTCACAGTGATAAGGGATTTTTCCTCACTGAGATTTTTTATAGATGTGAAGAGTTTTTAGTGAGTATCACTGCAGTGCTGAGCTGACTATGAAGTCACTCAGTGAAAGGCTTCACAGATGAAGTCTTAGAGAGAGAGAGATATGTAAGAAATCTCACTTCTCACAGATTCTTTATCTCTATTTCTATCTCTCATGTAATTAATAGAGCTAGCAGCTCTTGACTATATATAACTATATAGACTGGAGTTTGTGAATACTATTTATAACTCAGCTTGAATGCTATTATACATTTGATCTCTACATTTTATCTTTCTACTGTGAATACTTCTAGTAGTTAACAGTATATATCACGCCAAGCTGCAAACATCTGAATAATCGCCTGCGAGCACTTATTCTTACAGATATTCAATAAATAAATAAATCAGTCACATCACTGAATATAATACAGAATATTAGAACACAGTGAAGTTCAATATATAAGATAACTATTCAGACTCTTCAATTGTATTAGATGATTAATCATTGAGTGCAATACTCTGATCAGAAAAAGATTCAGATATTGAAACTTTTTAATATGAAGTGAACTCAGTTGAAATATATAATTAATTTACTGTTTCAGTTTTATAAGATAATAAAGACAGTCTCAATCACTCATATATTAATACTGCAGTCAGTCTGATGAGTGTATAACAGTTTATTTACTTATCTTAAGAAGCAGTTGAATCACTTAAAAAGAAATTCAGTCTGAGATGATGTTATAGTGCAGACTATTATTACTGTAAGAAATAAACTGATATATTATTACAGTAAAACTGAACAATCTTTTACAGAGTACTATACTATAGCAGCTCTACTAGATCTCTCTTATTAAGTTAATATCTACACTTCTCAAGATTGAACAGAGAAGAAATAAGACTCATATATTAAATTAGTCTGAGACTATTATAATATCAACTATCAGAGATTTGAACAAGCAGATATTTGAGATGTGAAGACAGTGAAATACAATTCTCTAGTAAGTAATGATCTTTGATAACACTTTATATCTTATAGAACTATAACACTAACTTTGAAACAGAACTTGCATATATTGATTGCAATCAAAAATCAGGCAAAACTACATGCTTATAAAACTGAATTTGACTGCTATCTTCAAGATGATTCAATAAATTTACATGCTAAATCAATTCTAGAGTTATGAAAAATTGTTGAAAGTATATATTCAACTGTTGCACTGATGATGTGTGATATTCTAGTAATTTCATTGACAGAGATGAGAATAAAGTGAAAGTTCAACTCAAGTTGAGATATTTATCACTATTATCAGAGACAATTACAAGAAGAAACAATCAAGAAACTCATGATTATAAAACATAGAATTATCAGACAGTTTAATACCTCTGATCACAGTATATCAGAGAAGTATAGTTTTCATGAGAAAGTGAAGAATAAACTTACACAAGAATGTATTTAGTTATTTCATGAGTATTATCAATAATTGTTACCAAATTCTGATTATATAAGTAATCACTGAATGAATCAAATGAGACTGATTTTGATCTTCAGTCTCAGTCTCATTCTGATTTTAAAAGAATGATCATCTTTCACAGTTTATTCTGAGAAATTACTCTCATTTCACTGTTCTTGAATTAAATCTGGTCATTTTTCACATTATTTCTCTCAGAAATGGTTCATTTTCAGATTTTTTTAAGGCTTGATTCTGATGGGACTCACGTCAAGAAATGTATGAGACCAGACTAAATGAGATTAAATGTGAAATTCATGGTCCCGCCGGCCAGTCTAAGTAACAGCAGCTGAAAGAGCTGTAGAGATCTCAGTGAAGATTTTATTAAGTTACTATACTCTTTTTACTGTGTATTAAGCAGGCATTCAGATCAGATTATTGTCTTTTATATATCATACAGCTGTGAGCTGCTGAGCTGCTGTTATTTTACTGATTGAATTACTACTTAATATTTCAGTAGATACTGCTATCTCTGCTACTCTCTTCCTGTTTCTGATTATCTGACATTGATGTCTTTCTATGAGAATAGCTTTATATGCTTTATTTACAGCTGTAATTTGACTTGACAGAAAGCTATGAAGCTGATCTTTAAATTCATCTTGATAGCTTCAAATCTGAAGAAGATTGACAGTATTATATAATTCATTTCAATTAAATTCAAAGATAGATATCTTCTGATGAAAAAGAGCAGCTATCTGTTACTAATATTAAGTAGACATAAATTATAAAGCTGACACTGAAAAGTCTTAATCATGATAATACTGTTTCTTTATATATTTAATACATCAGTTCTTAAGTTCTGACAGTAGAATGACACTGTGACTATTATCTTAAGATATCTTGATAATGTTTGTAGTGAGTGACTATTTAAATACAGATATATAGCTTGAATTATATCTGCTACAGTATTTCTTCACAGAAGTATTCATTCTATTCATATCAAATAAAAGTTGATTCTTCTTAAAATAGATCAGAAGAGCTTTTCAGTGATATAAATTATTAATAATTTTCTTTCAGTCAGTGAAGAGATTGACTTATTTTTATATTTCATTCTCTATTCATGTCTTCACAGTAATTATTCTATATTGACTTTAACTCTGACTTATTATATTTAATGTAATACTTTCAGTATCAGATATATTCTTTAAGTTTATAAACTGTAATAACTGACTAATCTGATATTGAGTTCTTTACTGAGATCTTTGTTTTACTGATAGTTAAGAAGATTGAATAGCTTTCTTTTTATAATCTTCAGAGTCAAATACTTAGTAGAGAAGAAGAATTAAGATATAGTTTTTTTAATCTGATCTATAATCTTCTCACTTATATTATTATTAAATATTCACAATATCATCTCTCTTAATAGAAAATTCTTATACAATAGTACACTTAATATCTGAAATATTTATACTTATACTCAGTGAGATTATTATTATCATGATTTATATTTTCAATATTGATTTTATAAACTTCTCAAAGTGAATATTCTGATTCATCTCAGATACTTGAGATATAAAATACTGAATAATGTTATTAATAAAAGAGATATGAGTATTATTAATATTCTGTCTGTTATTTTAACAGATCTGAAGAAGTATTAATTAGAAATATTACACTACTTATTAAATCTTGATATAACTATTAATAAAGATAATAATCTTTAAAATATATTAAAATATAATCTTTTTATCTGTATCAATGATCTTGTTTAATAAAAAATATAATATATTATAGAATATAAGTTTACTACATGAAATTGAATATATACTGATAAAGATATTAGAATAATTAATACAAGTTTGAATAATCTGAATCTGCTGTGAATTTATATTAATAGAATAAAATTCAGTCTTTTAAAGAATGATATTCTCAGCTTTACTACTGAGAATTGTAGAACAGTTAAATCAGATAATATTCTTATAAAGAAGCAATCTCAGATACTTCAGTTTAATAAACTGATTATAGAATTAACTTCACTGTGTAATAAGATAATACTTATTAATAGCTATAAGCTCAATCTTTTCTTACAAAGTAGAGTCTTAAAGAATATACTGAAATTACTTATAAAGAGCTTACTCTGAACTGAGTAGTATATATATATACTTACTCTGTTAAATATATTTGAGTAAGTCTTCTTATCTCTGAAGATTATCAGTATTGATTAGATAAGAATTAATACTGAGAAATTATACTATATCTCTTATTTACTGATTATTAAGCTTGTTTAGAGAAATCAGTTAAATGATTATCTTTTCTATCAGAATTATATAGAATTAAAGAATAAGACTCTTTTCATAGCTAGTTCTAATAATAAATAAAGTATTACTATATTTATATATTATATACTAAAGTATACAGACTTATTCTATATATAACTGAAGAGTACACTCAGAATCTGAATATAAGTCTTGAAGTATTTATTAAAGATAATACTAAATAATATTCTATTATTTATTAATATTATCTGATTTAGTATAGCTTATAATAAGTTATAGTATATCTTTAATATTTATTGAAAGTATTTACTTTAATAATAACTTTTAAAGTTATTATTATAGCTAACTTATATATTTTCTTTAATCTCTCTTAATTATATTTAATACAGTTGATAAGATATTATTTAACTCAGCTGTTAAAAAGTGACTCAGCTGTTAAAAAGAAGTATTATATAATTGATTCAGAAGTTATTAAATAATCTCAGAAATTATCAGAAGTTATTATAAATTAATATATTATATAAGATTATTAAGAGATCAGAAGTTATCAGAAGTTGTTAAAAGTCACTGAAAAATATACTTAATACTTTAACTATAGTTTCTAATAACTGAATAGATGTTTTAATAGCAAGATCAAGATATTGAATGACTAGATATAATCATGATTGAAAAATTAGTAAATTATTCTTATATTTAAAATCATAGTAGTAGTTTTCAATGTAATACTTCATACTCAGAATATATATATTTTTAGATAAAAATTATATCAATTAACAGAAAATTGAAAAATTAATTCTTTAAGATAATAGAGAAATAATCTATAAGTGATATTATATAGTAATTCTATTTTAAATATTATAATTAAAGCAAATTATTTCTGTGTTACTAATAAATAGAAATCATTTTTTCTCAGATACTCTGTGAAGAGTTTACTGAGAATGTCTCATTTAGGTTTAGTATAAGCTCTGTGACAGTTGATTAACTCAGATATTAGCAGAACTTGACAGAAAGTAGCAGTAGTTCAGATTGAGTTAGCTCGGAGTGGAGTGGCTGAGTTTACTGAGATAAGTTTTAGTCGTAATATGACCATATTAGCCCACGTGACCCGAATATTGAGCAGCCGATGCCTTTCAGAAATTACCCCCAAAGTACGTCGCAAGGAAAATCTACAGCCAACGAACCGTATCAAAATGTATACATTCAATCAGGCAATACAGTTACGCGAAGTATATTGCCTCGAAGCATCGTATTTCAGCCAGTGAATTCGGCGCCGGTAGCACGACCGAACATTACTGGAAGCGAGCAGGGGTGTCAGCGGCAGCTTGGAGAGCGCAGGAATCCGTTACCCCCGACATCCCCGCCCTCTCCAAATCCTATGTCTGATGGCTTCGGTTCGAATAACGCTAGACAAGAATTTGTACCTCAGGCTGCCCCTGACAATTTAGACTGCTTTGATAGTGCAATGGAAGCCTTCGCCTGTCGGGCCGTCCCCCAAGGTTCGGACTTCAACGACCTTGGCAATGTAAACGACGAAATGCAGCTGTTCGCATCTCAGGACGCAGTCGCTCTCGGCTTTGAAAATTTTGGCAGTGCAAACTATGAAATGCAGCAGTTCGCATCTCAAGGCGCCAATCTCTATGCTTCGGAGAGTACAGCGTAATCCAAAGTTTATATTTGGTTTAATAATAAAAAATTTATAACTTAATACAATGCCTACAATGATCCACTGCGGAAGTCTGGCCAACTCAACGCGTTCTTGCGTCTCAGTTTTATGCTTTGTAACGGAATGTTATAGAACGATCGACAAGCACAGAGCTGTTAACGGATTACGAAGTTTCCTATTTATTTATTTTTGGTTTCTTGGTTGCATGACCAGGCCATGGCTTCTCTAAAGAATAGGGGATATAGTGGGCATGGACAGGCCATGGCTACTCTGAAGAATAGGGGAATTTTTTCCCCTGGGGACGACATTGGGCATGACCAGGCCATGGCTTCTCTAAAGAATAGGGGATAGTGGGCATGAACAGGCCATGGCTACTCTAAAGAATAGGGGAATTTTTTCCCCTGGGGACGACATTGGGCATGGCCAGGCCATGGCTTCTCCAAAGAATAGGGGATATAGTGGGCATGGACAGGCCATGGCTACTCTGAAGAATAGGGGAATTTTTTCCCCTGGGGACGACATTGGGCATGACCAGGCCATGGCTTCTCTAAAGAATAGGGGATAGTGGGCATATACTGGGCATGAACAGGCCATGGCTACTCTGAAGAATAGGGGAATATTTTCACCTGGGGACGACATTGGGCATGACCAGGCCATGAATATTCTATTATGCCTTCCGGTTTAAACCAGTTCATTTCGGTTGGTTACCAGTACTCTGCTGAGCCTTACTAGAACCCCACAAGAGAGACGGGTATTATGGGTCATGTAAATAATTCCATCTAATTGAACAATAGCCAATGGTGCATCTCCCGAGTTCCCATAGTGCGGGTCAATTTGTTCAAATGGTTCTCCCTGAAAGGGACTGTAGCCATCACCCTTCGGGAAAACATTGAAGCATGGGGGATGAAAGTATACGGCGACTAGAGATGGATTACTAAAGGTAGGTGCAGAGTCTTAACTAGTTCCAAGGTCAACGGCGAAAGTGATTAAAACTAAATCAAAATAGACCACAAAATGGTTAACCTCAATGGGCTTGCCGTCTGGCGGTTTCCCCCCCCCTTTGCAGAAGAGTGACCAGTTAGACACCATTATCTAAACCCTTAAAGCTATTGGTGTTTAGCAAAGAAAACGAAACAACAAATAAAGATCAGAAAATTGCAAGTTTATATAAAATTTAATTGATGCCCTGAGACATACAAATATTGGTATCTATAATCATAATTTTAACATATAGATATAAAACAAGCATTTGCTTCTAAAATATATTCAGAAGCGATAGTATTAAACAACCGAAAACATGACACTTAAATTTCTCCCCAAAGTACTGGCATTTACAACTAAATCTTTCACTGGGGCATTTTCTTTCCGTGCTCCACAGCAATAAATTTACGTATCCCCAGGGTTTTTCGCCTTCTTACGGCATTCTTCTTCTGCTGACTGTGTTCGATTGGCCACGACTTTGGTGTAGCTCTCAGGGACATATGATTTCCCAGGGATTGAGCTGCCACAAGCTCAGAAATCAGTGTTCTTGCGGCATGACAGAATTTCAAGGTATCTTTAGTTCTCAGAATGCCCCTTAAGCTTGAGGGAGACCACACTTTAAATCAGATATCATGGTTTTTGAGACGTTCTATAATCTCAAGGCATTTTTAGTTCTCAGAATACTACTCTTTGAACCTGAGAGAGATCACATTCTCAGAACGCTCTTCAATTCTGAGGAGAACCACACTTTAAATCTGTAATGTCATGATTCTGAAAGCTACTTGAGGCCCAACACTGGGCATTAAGCCTCAAGCTATCTGCGGAATCATGACATTATAGGTTTAACGCGTGGTTCTCCTTAGGGTTGAGAAGTGTAATAGGAATAAGCCCTCTCTTAGGTTTAAAAAACATTTCAGGAATCAAAAATGCCCATAAAATGTTCAAGAATTGGTGACATGCTTGGCCTTTGCCAGAAGGCAAAAGTATTTACCGACCGCAATTGCGAATTATTCCATTATTACTGAATTGTTACTCAATTATTACTAGTTATCCAACATTCTAGAAGATGATGTTGAGTTATCAATGATAACACATGGTATCAAGAGCTTCTTTGAGCTCATTCTCAGATTTTATCATTTTCTCCACCGGATACTCCGCAAGTGGCTTAATAAGATCTGGCCTTTAGAAGTTGCAACTGTAGGGCGACCGATAGCTGGTCTTCCAGCGGATTCCAGCACGTGACGGCTCTTGGTTTTTCTTAGCTTTACCTTATCTCAGCGGGCTCAGACCTCTGGCTCGGTTTGAACGGGTTGCAGCATTATTATTAACTAGTTAATCCAGCATGACACTAACCTACTTTTGATACAAGTCATGTGCTCAGAGCAATCCTCACCAGAGAATCTGAGAAGAAATAGTTTCATCTTCAATGAAGATTTCTGAGATTTACAAGGATTTTTCAGATTCTTTAACTTTGACTTTCTATTACTATATATTCACATATCTTGGAGATTTGAAAATCACCTTAGCTTATAGCTAAAGAGAAGAAGAATAGAAATATTTCTTTAATATTTTAAAAAAATCTATATTTAAGATAGATATATACTCTTGAAAATGATCATATTTTTTAATCTCAGAATTTCTAAGAGCTTTTTTTTGTATGAGAAATTGAATCAAAATTCCTGTGTTCAAAAACACACTGATCAACTTTGAGATAATACTTCTATTCTAAGAACTTGAGATATGAATATAAAAATCAGATACATCACAAGAACATTATTATTCTAAGGTTTTAAGATAATATAGAAATGATGAATCTATGAAGTTGAGTTGAAATTCTCTTTCATACTCAGAGTACTGAGTAAATTCTTTTCATGTTACTAATAATCAGAAATCATTTCTTCTCAGATGCTTTGTAAGATATTATCACTTATATAATCTGATTTTACTATTTAAATTAGCTTATTGCTTATTTAAGATTAGCTCATGACATAATCATCAATTCAGTGTTAAAACAGTAATGATATCTGAAGAAGTATCTGAGCTTGCTGAGATAAGCTTTACTGACATTTATCTCAGCAAGCTCAGATGCTTCTTCAGATATCTATTCATTGCTGTTTTAACACTGAATTAATGATTATGTCATGAGCTAATCTCAAATAAGCAATAAGCTAACTCAAATAGTAAAATCAGATTATATAAGTGATGATATCTTGTAAAGCATCTGAGAAGAAACAGTTTCTGATTGTTAGTAACACTAGACTGATCACTGAGATTATGAATTTCACATTTGATCTCATTTGATCTGATCTCATACATTTCTTAGTGTGAATTCTGCTGAGACTGACTATCAAAAAAACATGTAAAGTGACTATATATCAGATCTTAAAATGAGACTATGACTTGAAAAAAATAAGAAAGTAATCTTATTTAATCTCATTTAGTCTCATTCTTAGTATAAAGTTACTATTTTTAGATATTTTAAGATTTTTTTTAGACTATTTTTAATTTTTTAAAAAGTAATGCTTTTTGATAATACTTAAATGAGATTTAAAGTCATTTAAAGTAATAAAAATAATTTAAATTAAGAAGTGAAAATTATAATCTTATTTGAAAAATATAATAAGAGTAGACTGATCATATAACTGTGTCTGAGATCAGAATCAAACTTTATAGTTATTATATTATCTAAAAGTATTACTTCTGATCATGATTTATATTCATTATATTGATTTCAAATCATGTTATTTTAAATATTAAAGATCTCAGATTTACTTTTCAAATAAAAATCTAGTTCTAAATAAAGAATATATTTAAATTCTTAGTCATATTTTCATTCTGATCTCATTATTGAGAATAGCACTAAATGAGATTATAAAATCACTTCTCACTTACATAATATTATAACATAGTGCTTATTTGTTGAAAATTCAATAGAGAGTATTATTAAATATCATTACTTTTCTAAACACAGATTATAATTTATATAATTTTAATTATGAAAAAAATATAAAATATATAAAAAAAACAAAAAACAAAAAATAAAATAAAAACAAGAAAAAATCAGAATGAATAAAAAAAAAAAAAGAAAAAGAAAAAAAAAAGAAAAGAAAAATAAAAAAATAAAAAATAAAAATAAAAAAAATCAAGATTGCAGAGTTACAGTACTTTTAAAATACTCACTTCTCAGAGTCTTCACAATATTTATTATTAATTATATATCTCTCATAGTAAGAATAACACAGTCATGATAAGTTATTATCTTAATATCATCTAATAAATAATCAGTATATATCTGTATAAATGTGAATATTTAGAAAATATATACTTAAAAAGTGTGATCAGAGTGAACTCTGCTATCACTTGAATAATATCAAGAACAGAACACTGAAATTGATAATTTCTCTTATTAATTTCACAGATAAGATAGATAAAGATAATCTTAAAAAATATAAGATTCTCTGACTTCTGATAAAAACAGATCTCACAGAGAGACTCTATTTTTATAATATCAGAGACTGAGTATTATTAAAAAGCATTACTTTCATATAATATATATATACTTACTGTAACAATTCACTCTCTATATATATAATCAAGAGTTGCAGCTTTCTCACACTGTACAGCTCTTTCTGAGATACTGACACTGATTTATAACTCACACAGTCTCTCAGTTCAGTATACACTGTGTGTATACAGCTCTACATGCTGAGACTGTGTTAATTATTATAATCTGATATGATACTCACTTTTCACAGATCATGTTTCATTTAAGAGAGAGAGAAAGAAAAGACATAACTGTGATTTTATTAAGAGAGAATGAATAATTAATAATATTGAATATAATTTAATTCTTCTATATTTAAAATTTAATTAGTCTATACTCTTCAATTTGAGAGTTTCTAAGAGTGTTTTAATAGTTTTCATACTAGCTTGAACTTAGTAATGAATTGAAGAAGAAGAGAAAAGAGAGAAGAAAGAAATAAGAATAACTTATCTTTATAATATAAAAACAGAGAATTACTACAATCATTCTCTCTAGTAATAAAGATCTGTTTTCTACATATATCATTATTTATTATTATTATTCTTTCATTATACTCATATGCAAGCGGAGCTTATGATGAGTCCTTGCGTGATGTTAAATACAGGTCAAGTGTTGGTTATACAGGAGGAAATACAGGTGTTGAGACCACGCCAAGATAACAAGAACATAGAAAATACAAAGAAGTGACAATTAGATACATGCGATAATAACTTCCCAGCCCAGGAACATAGAGCGATTTATTGGAGCGATTTGTACACCTCTGTATTTATTAGAAATCTGAGGTGCTTGAGTTCTGGATTTAATGTATCCCCTGCGGGTTTCGAACCCACGCGCCTTGGTTTCCCACGCCAAGGCGCTACCAGGTGGCCGCATTAACTATTCAGCCACCGGGGCTCTTCATATATCTCTGATATAGATTATATAATAACTGTATACAAAGAATATCAATACTGTATACATTGAATGAAGATGATATTACTATGCAACACTGTAGCTGTTTTCATATATCTCTGAAAGCTGTTAATATTTTCTTTATCTCTTTATATTTGATAAGTTAGTAATATATTTCAATGCACTTCTTCTTTCATTATTATTATCATCATCATTATTATTATCATCATCACTATTATCATTATTACTATTATTATTATCATTATTATTATCATTATTATTATATCATTTCTGACTGCCTCTTCTTCCTTCACTTCTCTTCAAAACTTACTGAAACATCATGTCATCTCTCTTCAAATATTCTGCGGTTCTGTGAATCATCAAGGCGCGTGAGCGCTGTCACAGATTGAAGAAAGAGAAGAAGAAGATGTTCAAGTAAGAGAAGACAGATTGTAAGACATATTATAATATCTTGAAGAGACTTTATAAGAGAGTAGAATGATAACAATTTTAAGTAATACTTCTGATAGATTTAGACTGAACTAAGTATAGAAATAATACAGATAGTATTACTTATAAGAGATTAAAGAAGAAGACAGTAAAGA